TAAATAAGTGGAATTAACCTATTTTTAACCTTATTGAATGTTTATTCTTATTTTACAATGTTATTCCTCTTGGTGAGTTGGGTTGGGAGCAACAACTGTGTGCGCCCCCCCCCACTGTTTGAGCATGGGGCGAGTTCCCCACTTCCTCCCCCTTCTAACGACCCTGGTGTGTTGTGTTGCTGGTTGCCCCAGTGCATTGCTGTGCCCATAGGGTCCCCTATGTTCTTAAGACGGCCCTGGTAAATACTCATTGATGCTAACTCATTGGTTTACTCGATTAACTTAATCTTACGAACACTGCTTCGTCATTACTACTGTCACAAATGACTGGGGCGGGGGTTAACAACAGAGCTCCGTTGTTCTCCAGACAAGTTATGGGGTGGATGGAAATTGCTGTGATTTTGGGGAGGGAGTTGGCAGGCGCAAGGGGTAAGGTTAATAGATCCTCGTATCTTTTAGATTAAAGGGATGTTTCTTTCCAAAATATTATGTCTCAGGACTTCCAGACTTCGCGTGATAATTTTGGTGTGAGCGACGGAAGTTCCTAATTGACCGGAAATGAGGGGGGGGGTATGGATGGGTTAATTGCCAGCACTCTTTGACCACCTAGGGAGATAGAGAATGGTATAATATAACATGGAACTCAACGTGACAAAAGGCAAAGGGAGAGTTTCCTGGACGGTTGTTCTGTTGTAACAGACGTAGTGTTACTAGCTGTGGTCAGAGATAGAATTAGGGATAGACAGCGAAGTGTTAACAGTTAGAAAAAGAGACATTACAATCTTACTATAGTGATCAATACATCTTTTACTTATAACTGTTAATGAGGAGTTGTTTAGTCATTCATTCGTGTTCTGTGCTCTCTTGGTCGTACTTCTCAACGCCTGGACAAGTAAACCATCTCAGAGAGGAACGGTCCCGTACTATTCACAACAGCACCAATGCCACGCGGTACATGACTATAAGTACGGTCATACCTCATAATACCATCCCATCTGTGACAACTACATGTGTTCGTTAACCCGGGCCGTGTTTTTTCTTTCAGAAATTTTCCCCCGTGGGGGGGGGGGGAGGGGGGGGCTTCAGATTTTCGCGGGGGGGGGGCAGTAGAACATACCTCATAATACCATCCCATCTGTGACAACTACATGTGTTCGTTAACCCGGGCCGTGTTTTTTCTTTCAGAAATTTTCCCCCGTGGGGGGGGGGGAAGGGGGGGCTTCAGATTTTCGCGGGGGGGGGCAGTGCCAGAGGTGTAGCTTAGGGCTGTCGGATGGGACATACGTCCGTGGGCAAAAATGGGCTTTGATGGTATTTAATGGCTGAAAATAATGGGTTTCATAGTTGATGGAGGGCGTAAAAATGAATCTTGTACCCTGACGCTAAACACTGTAGATACGCCCCTGCTAGCGGCGTCGTAATAGGGTGGATCCACAAAAGTGTCAATTTTTTCTTTATATGCTTATGTGGCATTTTTTTTACAACTGCAGTGTTTGTATCGTGAAAGGGAGGACGGCAAAACTATTTGGCCGCTCATGGCAGCACTATTAGTAGCTACGCCACTAGGCAGTGTATCTATCTATAAAAAAATCGGCGATTATTATCATCGGAAATTAGTTCGGACATTGAGTGTGTCGATGAATCTTGATCGGTGGAGGGGTTTGGGGAGCCTGCTAATTAGAAATTTTTTGATTATTTCAAAATCAAGAGGTGTATTTTTAAGTATACTCGAATTTAATATTTCTATTATACCTTTTGAACAGGGATGGACATTTTTATGGTTTTGTGCGAGGCGTTAGGACACCCAGTGTCAAAAATAAAATGAATTCACTCCGTTCTTGGCGCTCCCCAGAGTAAGCATTTGGCACAAGCTTTTAATCAACCCCATACTGTACCATTGATCAGCATAAAGGGAAGGTGTGTATAATTTGGAGTTCTAAAGACAGTCGTACAAACTCAAATTGTAGCTATGCATTATTTTGGTGCATACTTGAATTTGTTCTTTCTTACAGACAATTTCGAGGTGGCATTTCAAACTTTCGGGTGGGAAGCGCCAAAATTAGCCATAATAATGACCAAAGACATCTAAGTTCTCTCCAGTTCTATCCCCGCAGAGGGTAAGCTTTTGCCCTAGATTATTCTCGGCCCTTAAATCTTTATAGCCCCCAGAAAATTTTTGATAAATTCAAAATAAAAGATTGCATTTTATCACATATCCTAAAACAGTTTTGCAACATTCTGCATTTAACTGGAGAGCAACGGAAGAGATCCTAGTTAAGAAGGGAAGGTGTCACTTAACCTTAGAGCCATCGTGCTGGCCCATCAACCCCTACGACTGCAGGGTGCCTCAGGTATTTTGAAGGCCTTAAAGATGTGATGTGGATATTTTCATAATTATCTTTCATTGCATGGTTTGGCAAAACGTAAAAGTACTTGACCTGAGTAGGCCTACTTGACCTGCCTGTGTTATGCAGAAAAATATTAACATTACTAACATAGTAATGTGGCTTTTATTTTTTATTTACATTATTTTGGCGGATAGCTACCTAATTAATAAATGAAATTTAAATATAAATAATTAAAAAGGATGCCATCACTAAAAAGCACTGCAAACATTATTTTATATGCTAAACGCAAATGGGAAAAAAACAACAACTTATAAATATAATGCCAAGACCACCTTTTCTAAATATTTCCTAGTTTTACCAGAGTAAAAAAAAAACAACAACAGGTTAATTAGAAAGGTCTATACATGTGTATACGTTTTTTAAACTGGTAATTTAAAAAAAAATTGTAAATAAACAGCATAAATATTTCCCAATATTCAGTAGATTGAAATTTGTATTTGGAATTTCAAACTGCTATAACTTTCTTAAATTGCCTCTTTACTTTAAGATATCTTTAACTAAATCCATAGAATCTATTTTAAATTGGCGAATTATGAATACTATTTTTTTTCCCTTCTAATAAGTTTAATAACAGTACCAAGAAATAGAATTGGCATGATAATCTAAATGCTAGTTTAAAAACATTGTTTGCCTAGCTTTCTACTGGATTCTCATCTAAAATAAAATAATATATAAAAATGAGTGCAATGCAAATGGATGGGGCAGTTTGTTTATTATTCTGATATTAAAAAGAGAAAAAGCAGTTTGGAAATTAATAATTATAAATATAGGCTAAGTATATTTTTTGTAAAAAATCTGTTATTCAGGATCCTATGTAACAAAAGTACAACATTTAAAGAAAACAAAGTACTTTTGATTTAATAATAATTGATAAAATGTGCACTATTTGTATGCGCCCTTTAAATTCCAAATTAGAAAAAAGAGCATGATGCCATCATACAATTTATAATTAACACCTATCCATATTTTAAAGTCATGCTTTAACGATAAACTATCATTTGAAATTAGATTGCACATGTTTGATACTTGAATAACTTTTATTAAAATTGGAGACCTTTATAGATGTGCTAATGTATTTTAATACGGTGTCATTAAAGTCTTTAAACTAGTGAAGTTGCAAAAAATAAATTTAAAAAATAGCGATATATGCGAAAAGGAAGAAAGACTGGAGCGGTCAGTGCGATATAGGCCTACCCGAATACTATAACTTGATTAGCCTTAAATATACGGGGCATCAAATATATCCAGCCTAGCGATATTTTATAGATTCCACTTATTGCAATCGGTTAAAGGCACCAGTTACTATGCTTTCTAAAAATGTTTTGCAAATAATAATTAAATAAAAAATACAGATAAATGCGAAAAACTGGAAGTATATCTTCGGCTCATGATCGGGCGCGGTAAATTTTCGATACATTGCGATATTTATAATAGAAAAATGTAAGCTTCTAAGAAGATTAGCCTTAAATATACGGATCATCAAATATATCGATCATATCGATATTTAATTGATTCCACTAACTGTAATCGGTAAATTAAACACCAACTAATATTCATTTAAAAAATGTTTTAAAATGACAATTGGGTATTATTTTTTAAAAATATATTTTGTTTTATTGTTGTACATATTTTTGACGGTCGTCCCCCCCCCCTTTTTCCCCCTGAGTTCTAGCAGAAATAAACCCTTTAAACCGGGCGTTCTATCCGAGGTTTAACTTTATCTAATTAACAATTGGGTATTATTTTTTAAAAATATATTTTGTTTTATTGTTGTAAATATTTTTGACGGGCGCCCCCCCCCCCCCCTTTTTCCCCCAGAGGTCTAGCAGAAATAAACCCTGTAAACCGGGCGTTCTATCCGAGGCTTAACTTTATCTAATTAAGGTAAGACTTTGATTGATATATATATATATATATATACATTGTATTTTTTGGATGGTTATAAGTCTTCTTAATGTTATTTAATAAATACAACATTAATTAAATGATATAATTTTGCCTTTAAGAAGTGCCAACATTTAGATCAGCAATCACATAAGAGAGTATTCAAGTTTTACCGACCAGAAATTGCCATTATTAATTCGCTTTTAGCCACGTTACGCTTGTCCCCATACTGCAACGTCGTTCAAATGCAATTCCAACACAGGCCCTAACAACAATGTGAAGTTTAACGTGACTTGGGTTGTGCATTGAAAATTGCGTGATTTCCTTTGGGTACTAACTACTTTCAATAGTTCACATAATTTTTAGAAATAAAATAATTGTTTAAGCATACTGCATGATTGAATTAAAGATTTTAAACAACAACCCAATTTTTCCCATGCCCATATTCCTCACACCCCCCCCCCCCAACCGCCAATCCCACCTCCCCCAACCGCCAATCTCACCTGACACTTTTCTGGTGAATTCACAAAGTGGGAATGAACTTATTGTTTGTTTTTAAGAACAATGGGGGTATGATTTTCCTTGAATTTCATCAAAAGGACTAACTAAATTACAAAACCGATGTCATGTGTTCACGCGTTGAATATTTTAATTCTATTTAATTAATCAATGTGTTATTAAATAACATATTGAAATAACACGTCTGGAAAATGGGGAACATTATTTTTAATCATTGCATAGTTGACACATAAAAGTTGATACTATTTTATAATACCATCATCAAAAATCCTACCACAACTTTATTTCTGCACTTTTGGGAAATGTCTTATGAACAATTTAGATCACTACAAAAGAACATAAGTTGCTTAGTTATCTACCCTTGAGGATTTAAGTTTGTGACGCGATCACCGAGTCAAGCATAAGATGAAAACGTAACATAAAAGACAGAAAACACACAACTAATTCACAAAGTCATCTGTTGGCAGCAAACAGTCTGTTCGTTTGGGCCAATCACAGATGCGCTCCTCTTGATTCCAAGCTGTGCCTCGCCCACACACGTGATGAAAGGAAACATACCACACACACTGGTAAAACATTCTGCAATCTCCGGGGTCAGCGTAAATGCCGAAAGTCGATGGACAAACAAAATTGTCTGGGGATGTAACAAAATTTCCATAAGTTGTAAAGTGAGGCATGGCAACTGACTTGTTTTACAAGCTGTTAACAAGCATCCAAACAGTTGGTTGACGCAAAAACTAAGAGTTACTATAAGGTTGTCCTTAATGGCTTATTTTGCTGTCAAAAAAAATAAAAAAATATATACATCGATTCACAGTCGTCGTGGTTCTTAAAATGGAAGCTGGTCCACCTTTAGATTTCGAAAATGTATATGATAACCTTTGGAGCCCACTTATTTATGCTTAAAATGGAATTTAGAAGACAACTGAACTATGCACACTATGTTTTCTGATGATCTTGTGGAGTTACTGCAATCTATTTTTATAGATATACAAATTTAATACCATAGAGCATGTTTTCAATGTGATTGACAAAATTACCTTAAAGCCAACAATTCATTTGTGGGTGAGATTTCAAGCAATGTAAATGATTTCTATCAATGTTTATGTAAATGACTTTAGAGTAATAATTTTCTGCAAATGACAGTCTAGCTGTTTGTCTCATTGGATTTTTAGCCTTCATCGTGTAAATCATTTACTAAATGAACTTCCAGCCATCCACGTGTACATGTTCCTTAAATGATAAGATGTTGTGTCTTCAGCTCATGAAGTGCATGATAAATTGTTTATTTCAAAATCTACGTTAATATGAAATAAGCAACGTTTAAATCTAATACTTTATTTACCCGAAGTTTGAAGAGTTCCATAACTTAAAGCTGTGTCAGTCAAGCTTTTCTTTTTGTTTTGGTTGTCAACGAGATACGACTTCTGCTCGTTCGGCTTCTTGGCTATTTCCACAATGGTGTTCTTGGCTATTTCCACAACGGTATTCTTGGCCTAAATAACAAAAATAAAAGAACGTACTTTCTGAGTTGAGAAAAAATGGGATTTTTATATGTATATAAATAGTGCTGTATTGTTTATACAGCTTTATACATTTTAAAGTAACTCATGCGGTAAATGATGATTGGTCTAAATTCATTGTAACTTTTCATCCCCAGAACCTTATGGCTAGTTATCTAGTTCTTAAAAACCGGTATATGATTATGGCATACCCTGTCACCAATCATATTTTGAACCAACAAAAAACCTCATTTTTTGTTTCGCTTTACGGAGGGACAAGAGTCTTAGAGTCATGGTTATTAAAAGTAACCTCCCTGATGTAAAGTAAATATAGGTATTAAAAGTTGCAACAGTAGCAACTGTAACACATGTCCCTATGGGCTTGAAGTTCAGAAGATGACTCTTTCTCTCTTGAAATGTTCAGAATCAAAGATGGTTTTACTTGCACAAATCGCAACGTGAGTAACACCATAGTTTATTTTAAAAAATGGGGGAAACCATACGTAGTGGAGACAGTTCGTCGCCCCCACCCCCCCCCCCCCCCCCCGAGACCATTTTATAGAACACCTTTACAACATCAATAAACAAGACATTTTTCCTTTTTTTAAAAATATTTAAACATTGCTAACCGTAAGGGAAACTTTCACATTGCAGTTACTGGTATAAGGTGCATGAGTAATAAATCTGATTATAGGTATATGGAAAACAAATAAATAAAATGATTGATATGTTGACTTTTATACGATATAAATTATCAACTAAATTTACAATAGTAAATAACTGAAATGTATTTTTCCTATTAGGTTTTTATATTCTACTTCCACCCACTTTCTTTCCGTTCTTCTGATCATTGTATTCGTTAGGAACTTGTGCGCATTCTTATTTGTTTCTTTTCTTTCATTTTTAGTTATGGGTACAATATATATATATATATATATACTATGTAAATTTAACTTATAATTATACTCTTTTTTTGTGTGTATGTACTCATGAAGACAGACATTAGCTGAAACGTTTGAACTAGTATTTTGTAAGATCTTAACTATAGCTTAACGTGTGTCTTTTTGTTTACACAAATTGTTTGTGTCTTATTAATTCAGTTAGGTTAAGGTTAAACTTCATCTATGTAGCGTTGCCTAAACCAGAAATCCCAAGCACTTGAATGTAATTCTCCAACCAATATATTATGTTTTTGTAGATAAAGCGTTGGTAACGCCCATTGAAAGAAAATAAGAAGTTGGTTAAAATATAACAGGTAGTTGCTTCATATAAATGAACTTGCTTTTCAAAAATGGAACTTGCTTGGTATGTCGCAAGAAATGACATTAAAACAATAATAAATGTTTAGTAAGAATATCAGTTTATATTTTTTTGTGTCCGTAAATATCACAAAACAATTTTTCTGATCTAAATTAGTTCAATTACTCACCTCAAACAGCTGTTTGAATAGTAAAGAGTGATATGTAGTTTTTTTTTTTAAGTTAAGGGATAAAAAAGTATTTTCTCACCTGGAAGGCCTCATTTTCAGGAACATTCTTTTGTTGTGTCATCACTTGATCATTACCTTTTGACGAGTCCCTCCAGCCGTTCCCGTTATACAATTTCCCACCATCTGATTGGCTGTTGTAAGTTTTCTTGTTGTTTCCTGAATATTTGAAGGCATTATCGTTGCTGGCTGCTGAATTTTTCTTTACGCCATCACGTTTGTAATTATTTACGATGTAGCCATTGTAATTTCTCGGCCTACCCTGTTGACGTAAGTTGTTTAGGGTCAGGGGTTTTGCCTGCGACCTCTTGCCTTGATCATAAAAATTGGCCGAGTTCTTGTAAGCTTTGCTGACGGGTACCTTACTTTTGGTTTCTGATTTCTGTTTAATGTATTTGTAATTTCCACCCCGTTGACTGTTGGACCGTTTGTTAGCTGGCAGTGATGGCGTGTTATCTTTGTAGCTATATTTATCCAGGACTATTTTTTCTCCTTCCGTTTGAGAAACATGTTTGTTTGCCTCTGACGTTGCGTCCGTTTTTTCTTCAAAGCTTGGTGCGTTTGGATAAATTAAATTTGACTCTTCTTTATTTGGAGTATTTAAAGACCCCAAGTTCACATTTTCATTTTGGTTGTCAGATTTATCCTTCGAATCTTTGTTCCACCAGGGGTCGTTTGCGTCATTTGCACTTTTGATGTCACGAGCCACTTCCTTTACTTCATTCACGTTTTCATTTTGCAAAAACTTTGGAGTTTTTGAGCCTAAATTGTCGGAAATATTCGCATCTTCTTTGGGGTCTGCATTCCCAGTCTCAGTAAATGTTTCTTGTTTAATTTCTGTTTCATTGGGTGACGCATTAGTCTGATCATGTGCTGCGACGTTCATTTCAGAATTTGATTTGGGTTTGTTTCCGTCAGAGTCCCACCAGTGTGAACGCTTGCCGACGATTCTTTCTATCAACTTCTCCGATGTTTCTTTGATTTCTGGTGCTGATGTTGTTACAGTTTGAGAATTGGAAGAAATGACTGGAGTCGGCGATACAATGTCAATTTGTTCAATAGCAGCTGGCGGCGATGTCTGATCTTTTCTGGTTCTATCAAACCATTTGCCAGAACCTCGTTGGAGCTGGATATCCTCCGGTGCTTTTGTTGTCAGCGGGGCTGAAGGTTCTTTGCTCAAATCTCGCGTGACGCTCTTGTGAATCTCGTCCAGCTTGGATTTAATCTCAGACACGATCGTTGAGTTCCGTAATAAATCTCGGATTTTGCTCCAGTCTCTGACGTCAGGACTGGCTCCGCCTATGGTTGGTGGCTGTTCCGCATTTCTGTGATGCACCTCGTTCTCAGCAAGTTTATTCACCCGCTGGTGCTCGTGGCCATCTTCGTTGAGACCCGGAGTGTGTCTGTAGTGGTAAATTTTCTCAGGGCTTGGTATGTTCTTCAGTGTTTGCAAAGCCAGTTTGGCGTGGTAAGGCTGCACTTCCGGGTAACCGGATTTAATTTCACCCATCAGCGGTCTGTTTATTTCTAAATCTTTCTTTGTGGTGTTAAGTTTTACATCTGAACTCTCGGTTCTCTTATCGCCCCGTAAATCATTCCTGGACATGTTTAGTTTACTTTCTGGATCACTACCCATTTGTTCACCCAAGTTTGCCCCAATTTTTGAACTGCCATTGTCTTTTTTCAGATCAGCCTTGAGTGTTCGCTCCAGGTCTTTTGCGACATCGTGAATATCCTCTTGCGACACTACCACGATGGGAACGACGCTGATATCAAGACTTCCCTTTTCTGTAGGGGTGGCTAGGATGCCGGATATTTCGCGCTGGTCTTTGTGTAACGTATTTGCTACATCGCCCTGATACTTTCGTCCCACTTTAGGGAAACCCTGTTCACCCGCATGTTTCTTCGGATTTTTGTATGATCTCGGAGCATCTGTGTTTGTTGACGTGACCGTCCACCAGGGCTTCTTACTCTTGTATTGAATATTTGAGCTTTTTGAGGACGTCAGAGGCGGGTGGGTTGTATACTCGAGGTGATCTTGAGTACTGCTCATGAATTCCGTCGTTGCTTCTTTTATTGCAGCGTGAGCCCCATCGTTCTCAGTAGAAAATCCTCGACTGGGCTCTGTTGTTCCAGAGGTGCTACTTTGAGATATCAATCTTTGGGTTGAAATTTTATCTTGATATCCTGGAGATGAAACTGGATTGGGTGTGCTTTTATCTTTCTTTTCTTTAGATTGATCGGATTTCGACAGCCAAGATTTTCTTGGATCGATTTCCGTTTGTTGAATATTTCTGATTAAAATTTCCTCCACGTTTTCGCCACTTGGTTGGATATTTCCACTTGCCTTTGTCTCCGGCTCTGCTCTTTGTTGTAATATCGTCATCGTCTGTGTAGAAGTTGTAGTATCGGAATCCCACCATTTCTCTGCGATCTTGCCTTGCTTCTCCTGCTTCAATTCAGCCATGTCGTTGTCGGGGACAGATCCTTTGAGCTTGTATTTATAACCAGATTTCTCTTCCGTTCGCTGTCGCATTCTAGGCAGTTCATCATCCAGCCTAGAGGAGTACTTGGATATCATCGGAGTTTTCTCCATGATCCTAGCTATGTCGTTTTTCTTGCCTGAAAACGGTGACATCGACTTGTACGGGGTTGGAATGTAGTGACGTCTCGGTGCCTTGCTTCTTACCTGCGTTACGTGTACGCTGGACGGACGCGACGCCTTAATGTAAACCTTACCATTGTCACCCCCCGAACCCGTTTTCACTGGATTACCAGCACTCGAGTGGGAGTTTGTAGCTATCCTCTCATTGGGTTGCCGTGGCGAGCTAGCCGTGATGTACACTTTGTTAGAATCTTTCTTTACTTGAGGTGGTATCGCATGACTCTCTGCCGCCGCCAGCTTGGGTTCAATCATTTGTTTTTTGGCAGACTTACTTGCTGATTTCTCTTTCCCCGACTCGGCCATGAGCCGTGTGACCCATTCGGGACCCTCGCCGTTCAAGGCTATAGTTGTTCCCAGCCCTTCGCGTTCTTCTGGCAATAAGGATACGAATTTACCAAACGAAGGACCGAGCTTATCTTGAACACCTTTCCCCTGTTCCTTTTTGGCGGCAGATGTGCGCTCCACGACGCCACCGAGACTGTTGGAATAAGGAACCGAGTTGACATTTGATACCGTAGACTTAGCGCGTTTCCTTAGTTTCGTTTTGACACCCATGTACTGGACGTTGCTTGTTTCGCCCTTGACTCCAATATTAGGCGGTGGAGCTGTGGGATTATTCAGCGAATTAGAATCTTTATCTGTAAACCATGGCACTTCACCACTGACTTTTTCCATACCGAGAACCCTTTTCTCAACTCTCATCGGGCGTGAGTTCTTGCTTCGATTTACCGAGCTATCATCTGACTGGTTTGTTTTTGCTGAGTATTTCGAAATGGTTGGGAAATGGTATACAGAATCTTGCGGCCGCTTGTAGACACTGGATGAGTTCTTATCTTGCAGTGACAGCCTCTTATGCTGACCTCGGATCCTCTGATTCGCTTGTTGGTTTATTCTGACAGGGATCTTGGGGCTTTCTGTTTTCGCCAAAGGAACAAGGCTTATCTCGACTTTTTTTCTCAATTTCCCGTCTTGGTTCTTCTGCTTCAGACGTTGTCGTAGTTGCGTCCCTGTGTTGTAGATCGTAATATTTATCTCCTTGTTTTCAGGTGTGTTCACGATTGAGCTGTCATTAAGCTTTTCTGGAATTATTTTAGCGGCCATCATATTCGCCCTAAGGGGCACGGCCATGGGTTTGAAAAATTCCCGCTCGAGTTCACTGAAGGAGCCAAGTTTGTTGGGAGCCTGCTCCTTGATGAAAGGCTTAAATTCATTCTCAGCTTTGGTTAGATTCCTCATCAGCTCTTCCTTCCTTGACTCAATCAGTTTCTTCGTATCCTGTTAAGGGTGGAAAAAAAGTCTCTAAAATATTTAAAGAAAATAATCACGAGATGTTATAATTTGAACATTTCAAACCTATTACCAATAGCTTTTTTTTTAAAAATCGCTTTGGTTACCATGGCAACTTCAAAAGATGTTTACATGTAATTTGTTTATTTTGTGCGTTAGATGTCGCTAAAAGTCGAGTGCTTTAAATTTAATTTAATGTATTGAATTATAGTGAAACCATACATTCATCGTTACTGAGTTGATAATTGAGGTCTTCGTGAGACATTCTCACTAAATTTCTAACTAAGGAATCCACAATAAAAAAAAACAGAATATACTTTGGACATACATTCATAAGGTTCTTCTATATTGAACACTATTCGCAAGCCGTCGATAAGGGCGTCTATATAATAATATATCCAGATAATCTTAAGGATATTCTAAACTTTAAAACAAAGTCTAAATAAAAATCTTGCCTTCGAGTCCACGTTTTTAAATGTTTCCTTTCCCTCTATTGTGTCCTTGATGACGTTCATCAGTGGGTACTTGACCCCGTCGCCGAATTTGCCGGAAAAATCGTCGCCGTCAATGGACCACACCATAACACCCGCCAGGTGTTTCTTTTTGGCGAGGTTAACCTGTGTTTGGAAGGACAGGGTTTGCTTAAATGATAAACAGTTTTATGCGACAAGGTGAGTCCACGGTAGGGGTTTTATACAGGGCGTATGAGATCGAGGCATTCCCTTGGGGTGCCGAAAGATCCAGAAATGTTTGAAACAACTCTACCAAAAAAAAAATTTGTAAAAAAAACAACACGACGCAGGATCGCAAGAAATGTTTTGAATGCGAAAGGGTGCTGTGCTACAAGATGGTTAAGAACCACTGGTATAGGGGACTGCTCCCAATCAAATAGCAGAAATAATCACGCAATATTATTAACCTTTAAAATGTGCAATTTAAAACTGATTGGCTATGGACAATTTGAAAATAAAATGGCCGCTTAGACCAATTTTGCCGTTGCGCATGACGTTAAATTGAATAGAACATTTTGGGCAAGCAACTTAAGCTGCAGGTGCCTTACTTTTGCCCTGAGACTCTCCTCATCATCATAGCCCACCCAGATCCGGTCCGTCATACTGTAAGCATAGGGCACTAGTTCGTTATCCAGCCATTTTTTCTCCAGTTTCCCCGCTTTTAATCTCTGCAGGATCTGCAATAATCCAAAAAAAAAAAAGAATACATTGATATCTCATTCTGACGTCAGTGATGTTAACATTTCCGCGTTTATTGTTAATACTACAATAAAGTTTAAGATGGTATTTGGGGTGAGCTAATCATACAACAAATTTTAAGATGGTGTTTGGGGTGAGCTAATCATACAACAAATTTTAAGATGGTATTTGGGGTGAGCTAATCATACAACAAATTTTAAGATGGTGTTTGGGGTGAGCTAATCATACAACAAATTTTAAGATGGTGTTTGGGGTGAGCTAATCATACAACAAATTTTAAGATGGTGTTTGGGGTGAGCTAATCATACAACAAATTTTAAGATGGTATTTGGGGTGAGCTAATCTTACAACAAATTTTAACAAGGTGTTTGGGTTGATTTAATTTGATACAGTTTCAGTTAGTTTAGCTATTCTCATGGCCGGTAATGAAAACCTCAAAATAGTTCATTGTATCAGGGTTAGCTGCCCCGCATCCCTTGTCTCCTGGTTCTGTCCCTTTGGTGCAAAGCTTGAACGTCTTCCCGTACAATGCCAGGCCCATCACCAGTTTTTGGGGCTCTGCTCCCAGTTTTAGCCAAAGGTCAACAGATTGTTCCTGAAAGAGAGAGATTGAAATACATCATTATCACATAATTTATCAAAGGTTTTATAAGTGTGAATGCCTCTTATTCAGTGGGGCTAATATCCTATGAAGTATTTATCAAATTAAAAAGGTTTCGACCCTGCCATAACTCAATAAAACAGAGAAACCATCAATAGATCGATTTCGATTAATCTACTACCAAGTCCTTTTTGTTGCTATAAAAAAAATCCGAGTTCATCTTTTATAAAACACTTTGTTTTGATAACATATCTCATTCAAAGAGTCCGATTTTTATTCTATAAAATACTTACCACATTCAAAGAGTCTGATTTTGATTCGAACCATTTGTCTCCGCCCAGCAGTGGGGCGTGATGACCGATGATCGGACTCCATGAACCGTGCAAGTCGTAGCTCATCAGGTTAAAAAAGTCCACATACCTTTTTGAATGAAAAAAAAAACCAAACGATTTGATACCTATACGATGATGGTAAGCTTGCTAAATTAAGTTTACTCTCGCTTGTCCCACACTTTTAAAACTTCACATACAAGATGATGCATGGTGAGACTTTTTGACTACTTATTAAATTATTGAAATTTATTAAAAAAAAAAAATATTTCAGAGTCAAATATATAAAAAAAGGTTTCCTAAGTGTAGCGTTCAGCCCTTAGCCTTCAGTCTAAATATCTTATCACTGTGGGTTGGCTACCATGAAGATGATTAATACCTTTTAAAAACAAAAATACAGGCTAGAGCATGCTTATTTCTTGCTAAACTTACTTATTTAAAGTCTTCACGTCGTATCCTGACATTGCTAGACGCTCTCCTCCTGGCACGGCTGCAGTCAAGAGTAATCGCTCTTTTCCAGTCTTTTTAGCATCTGCCTCGAAAGCTTCGCGGAGCTCCTAAAAGAAAATTGGAAACACATTTAAATTTTAAAAAAATCCCACAGTGAGGTTGTAATTTTTAAAATGAAGATGTTCTTGTAGTTCTTAAAGCTGCACGTGTGTCCAAAGACATTCATTGGACGTCCACTACACAGAGACACATGCACCGCAGAGAGACCACATAAAGGCATAATGTGCTTGCCATTACCTGAACCAAGTGGACGAATCTCTCTCTATCCACTGCTGGACTTCCTCTGTTGGCTGGATATTCCCAATCCAAATCCAGACCGTCGAAATCATGTGTCCTGAGATATTCAATGGCATGCTGGGTAAACTTCTGTCGACTTGCTTTGCTAGACACCATATCTTTTGGATACACATTAGACATATAAGATCTTTAAGGTAAGCTGTAGAAAATTCTCGATACAATATCCTCTCCATGCATAAAATACAATCTTGATAAAATATCTTATTACTATAACTTGTACATAGGCAGTAGGCAATACGTGCCGACAGGCGGTGCGAATGCTGTTTTTTTGTTTCCTAAGCAACCTTCCCATCTTCCATGCCCTCTCGAAATGTTAGCCCACTTTTGAAAGAGTTGCACACAACCCAGGGGCGGATTTCATGATTTTGCCACCCGGGAGGGCAGAACATTTTGCCGCCCCTTGCATGAAAAACCCCTGCAGCTAGCCACATATGAAACTCCTTCATAAAAAGGAAAAAAAAGGTGTGGCCAGGGGGTTAATTACCCACTTTCCTACGCCACTGACGGGACCATATCTAATTTTAGACAGTAGATCTTTTAGATATGAAGTAGACAATTTTACACTAAAAATATTTTTAAAAGACAGAATTTTATTTATTGGTAGGACACTATTTATTTGATTCAATGGATTCAATATGTATTTAATGTCTAATTAGTCGCGTGCAGCTCAAACGTTCATTAATTTAATTTTAACTAAACCATGGGCAAAGTATCAGAACTGGATAGTGTTGAATGTTGAATACCTTTTTAGTGGATTGTTTAAATAGTGATTTTAAAAAAAAACAATATTTGCCCGTGGTTTCCTTGAGAACATTTTGAAATATTGACCCTAACGGTACGGTAAGATGTACGGTAAGAATTACGGTAAGAAGTACTAAAAAGTAAAACATGGGAAACGGGGTTGGATTTAAAAAGTTAAAATCTATCTCTTAAATATATTTTGCTTCTGATGTATCCTGATTCCTTTTGGACCCCCCCCCCTTTTTTTTTCCGCCCACTAAACCAACTCCAGATGTTTTAGATTAATAGTACTTGGGGGAAAAAGGCTGTCATGCGTGGCGTGTGAACTCAGGTAAAAAAATGTAAGGGAGGCGACTATTATAATAAATCAATAAAGAGATAAGAGTATGGTGTAGGACTGTTTTTAGGGCTGTCTGTAGGCCTATTGTTTAAAAGCCGGCAGGTAGGGTGTGGAAGCCCTATTTCTCCAAATACCCGGACCCGGTGTAAAAAAAACCAAACAACTGCACCCGGTTAAGCCCTAGTTTTATAGAAAAGGGTAGATTAAATAATGACCTACTGGTAAAATGGTATCATTGAATCAGTACCTACCTGTAGAGGAACGCTATTTGTAAGGACCTACCTGCACAGGGGAATGCCCTGGATGTAACGAATACAAACTGAGATAGGACCTACGCATAAAAGGTATGCCTGCATTAGGACTCAACTGCAGAGGGACATGAGGGAGTAAGGGCGTACCTGTAAAGGGCTGTGACCCGTGTGTCCATCCACCGACGGCCAACAATGTCTTTAAGGAAGGATTCTTCTCCTTGAGGGCATTAAACTGTTTGTACAAAACTGGAACACAAAGAATACAACGGAAACGTGAGAGATGGTCTTGACAACAAATTATGTCTGTACTTATATATGAAGATTGAATACATCCATTTGAAATCTAAACACATCAGCACCTCGCAATTACGTCGTAATTGGGACCGGACAATCGACGTTAAGTGAAAAACGACGTTAAGTGAAAAACGACGTTAAGTGAATTAAGGCTTTTTTGTTTGTTTGTTTGTTTGTTGTTGTTTTTTTTGCTTCGCGAGTGCCTGCAAGCAAAACTACTTACTGTGTACTAACATACATTGAGTGTGCAATAACACTAATGTTTTAAAAAAAAATAATAGGAGGGAAATTCAAACAGTGTCAATCTTTAAATCTATATTTACTAAGTACAACAAACGATTTACAACAGAAAAAAGCAAAAATAAAATTGTAAATATATAGTTGGCGATAGCATCTGTTCATTTGTGCGTGTCCTCCGCACAACACTGAGCAGTAGTGAGTGTCCCGGGCGCAAATTTAAGAGCGCCGTTATTGCGAAACGCCGTTAAGCGAGTAGCCGTTATTGCTAGGTGCTGCTTTACGTTATTAAGACAACAACATTATGTTTAAAACTCTGGACAATTATACCAAAGGGATTGGTTTGTGTTAAAGTAAACACAATATACCAACCAAATTTTTTAAATTCAAATACATTTATTCTGAAAACGTGCTGGCCACTTGATTGCGTTAAAAAAATGTAAGTCAGAAAATGTTGGTCTTTATCAGCACAAATAACTGTGTACCTGCAAAAGAAGGAGTTGATCACAAAAAAACAACATTTTAAAACAAGGAGGAAGAACAGATTGAATCATAGAGACCAGCAGGTGACTGGCTTGTACGGGCCAAGAATGCCGCATTGTCATGGATGAAAACGTTTTAAAGACCCGGTGCAAACAAAGCCTCAGAGCGTTACACCTGACCAAGCGAAATGAAAACCTGGTCTTCACTCACATGGATACTGAAGGTCATTCCACTCGTAGGGCGCCAAAACTCCCTTGTCGATCTTGGCAAACGCGAAGATCAGGTGGGTGCAGACGTTGGGGTCAATATCGGCGGGCATGAATTTCCCCATGTCGCGCCTATACTGGCTCCAGTTGGTGTAGTAACAGACTCGCTTGTAATCAGATGAAAGATCTGTGGTCAGGGGAGATAGCAAATATAAACGGCATCAAACATCAGTTACAGATCCTAAGATATGACAGGACAACTGCTTAAAAAAGGTGGCTTTGGTTTTGAGGCGAAAGATGGTGGGGGGGGGGCGCCAAATATTTTATGTAATGTAACTTTACATATAACTATGGATACAGTGGCGTACAGTAGGTATAGTGTCACACCCTTCTGCGAACAACTCAGCAGTTGTCCGAAAATAGCACCCCTTAAAAATTAAAAAAAATTAATACAAATGACACTCGGGCGTTATTGCCCACCCCCCCCCTTTTTTCCACACCCCCTTCTATTGATATCAGGATTGGTTATTTATGTACAAGTTAAACTAATTTCGTTATAACGTTGTGAGTTAATGTTACAATTGTTAAAAAAGATTAAAATAAAGATATTTGTGAAGCTTGATTTAACAGTCTGGAGGAGTATATATTAGTTGTTTGAAAGCCTGGTTCAGCCTAAAGCTGTTGAAGAACCGCACTGCTCTGAGGGTATTCGAAAGGCTGGATTAAAAATCAATGTCTTTGTAAGGCTGAACTTGTATGAAGTTAATTAAAACACGGGTTTAGTATGAAGGTAGTAGAAGAACTGAATTCCTGAGAAAGGTGTTTAAATAGATACTGGATTAACATGAAAGTATTTGAATGACTGAGGCTATGTGAACGCACTTGAAACGCTGGATTACTATGCAGGCGTTAAAAAAAAAACTGAACCAAAGTTAATGTATTTGAGAGCCTCTTAATGTTTGTGTTGGTGAGTTTCAACAGTGTCGGTTTGCGGGAGGGAAGGGCTTATAATCTTTCATCCTGTTACCTTTAGAGTCCTTGCTTGCCACAGCAATGGCTAGCATCAGACTAAATGAGGTGGTACATAAGGTTATAAACGTTGAAATTCGACAGTGTCTGGCCATCGTGAACGGAATCTGTAATATTAGTGGAAATAAAATTGACTTGAGAGCGGCAATTAGTTCGTGGCATGATAAGTAAAGCGTTAATGTGAGGCAAGAAACGTAACATTTGATAAACAATTTTCAGTATTTTTTGTTACCTCTGATGAAAGCACCAAAAAATAATAAATGTTCCTTCTCTCATGGTAAATTTTTTGTAATCTGAACTATCCCCTTAAAAGTTTAGCTCAATTTAGAGAAAAATTGCATGCAGATTTTAACATCATAATGCAGATTATTACTCTAATTTAGAAGACTAATCTTATTTTCAATATATATTTATTATTTTGCAACTAAAGAAGAACGGATAATGAAAACATATTATTGTGATTTTAAAATAGGTCATACTTTGGTAGAAAAAAAAAGAAAAAGAACCTTGAGTGGAAGGATAAAGAGATCGGGGCCATTTGAAGTCAATGAATCTAGCATTTTCCCTCATCTTTTCTTCAAACTAAAGATCTCATTGCTATACGCCGAAACGTTATCAAAGCTACCCTCTAATCATTTGGAGTGAAATAATTCTGAAACTTTTCCCAGAAATAGCATTCTTTAATACACATACTATACAAAATCTAGTGCTATAAAACTAAAAAAAAAAAAGGCATCCAATCAATTCTTAGAGGCGTGGCTTATAGACTCACGGTGAGATAACTCTGGACTGATGCCTTCATTGTCCGTCATATTTAACTTGAGTTGAAGTGCTTATGTATTTAAAGAGATCCTCCCCTCTAACTTTTCGCAACAAGGAGACTGATATTCTATAATATTTTACACATGAATGTTCTCAATTTAGATCAGAGGTTCCCAAACTTATCTGGCCTACCATTCCCTATTTCTGAAAAAAAATTACCCACTGCCCCCTGAGATATTCATTCTTTAAGCCAAAAAACCCATACATTTTTCTGTATTTCTACCTACGTCCTAAAATATAGTAAATAAACCAAATGTTTTTCTAATTCTTCTTATCTTCTCTTCCTTCTTTATTCTTTCACCGACCCCATATTTTTTTTCAACTCCCCAAAATTCACCCGAGGCTACTTTCGCCCCCCTGTATCTTTCCAGCGTCCCCAAGGGGTGGTATAGCCCACTTTGGGAATCACTGATTTAGAGTATGATGTATTACAATTATAAGAATCAACCCTTACTTGCGTTAAATGAACACAAGTCTACATAGAAAACAGGCAAAAAAACTACTGATTGACCATCACAAACTTGTCAAAGTGATACACTGTGATCTCACTGTGGCACAATTGATTGAAATGTCTTTATGTCTATTATACAATGACACTATATTAAACATAGCACACTAAGAACTCGTAGGAATGAGGATCCTTACCTTTGACTAAACTGATTATCCCAAAAGCGTCAGCATGGTCCAGCGTGTGCAGCTAAATGATGAAAATTCCACAAGACTTTCAGGTTGTTTCCGGATACGTTCCTCGTCCACTACAGGTCTCAACACTGAGTTCTTGTCGCCAGTGTTTCAGATTTTGAGCGGTCTCCCGGTGAGAGCTGTTGTCTGCTGATTGTTGACACTCTCCGATGCCCCCCATCTTTTTATTTGTTTCGCCGAAGTTGCGACGTCTTGTGTTGGACTGGTCAATACACACAAGGGTTGTCGGACACGGCGGATACCTTGATCAGCTAGTAACATTTTTTTTTTTTTTTGGGTGTATTTCAGAGCTAACTGAGCCCCTCCCCCTTAAGTGTACGTTGCATGATGTCAGCCTGGGCCGGACTACAAGGAGTCCATTGAAATGTGCTTAACGTAAGGTCAAGGCCGACTGGTCCACATCTTTAGGGCCGTGGTATAACACTATAGGGAACATATAATGTAATTATAACCATTGCGATACGTGATATATGCTTCTGGGCTTGTCAAAGAAGATATTGCTTCACGGGGTGAAAGGGCGTATTGTGTTTATTCTAAGCTTTCTGGTACCCAAGAAATGTAGTCTTCGTGGTAAAAAATGACTTTCTAAACATTAAAAAAATCTAAAGATATAAATACTCATTAACTAGCAATTTTTAAGGAAAAAAAAATTTAAAAAGTAATATGAGGTTTTGAGAAATATTTTACTCGGGCCTGAGTCTCTGCTTTACGTATATTGCTATATTTTTAAAAAATAAGATACAAATATGATACACTCTAAAGATACCCAAAACTAAAAAAAAATTATAATAAAAAATAACTAGATCTATTCAACGTTATTGGTATTAAAAATTTCACGTTAGCTTTTGAGAAGATTCTTAATTCCCCCCCCCCAACCCCAAAATCATCATGCTGGACAGAAAATTACGTATATTGCTATATTTTTAAAAAATAAGATACAAATATGATACACTCTAAAGATACCCCAAACTAAAAAAAAATTATAATAAAAAATAACTAGATCTATTCAACGTTATTGGTATTAAAAATTTCACGTTAGCTTTTGAGAAGATTCTTAATTCCCCCCCCCCCCAACCCCAAAATCATCATGCTGGACAGAAACTGCCCGCAGGCCAGCGTTTTTCCATGAACATGAAGTTTACGTTGAACAAGAACGAGCTTGACAGTGGTCCAAAAAAATTACACATTTTTTATGTCACCCACTATGGAGTCTTAGAGTCAGATGTAAGAAAGTCAACCGAGAGAGAAGGGGCACGACTCCAGCGGGGAGACGACTGGGAATGTCCCCCCGGGATTTGTAAGTCAATATAATTTAGATCTCAAATTTTCATTGGTTAAATAGACACAATGGCGTCATGCACAAGGGGACGGTATCGCGTGCAAGCGTTTGTTAGCTGCGCCTGTCTTAACTTGCTATGACGATTGTCGAATTCCTTCGCTGATTTCACGGCACAGTGTAAACGTTCGTGCGGTAAAAAATTTTTGGGACGTGATGGCTCCAGACTTGCTCCATATGAAAATATCAATATTGCCAAAGATATTGAGAAGTGGGTTCACATTTTTCCATACGGTCACCGCGAAGAAATTTGCAAATGAAATCATAGTATGCTGTCTTAATGTTCCTAGTTATCGAGGGGAAGGCTCACTCAATCGCTTTACTAGAATGTAAGGATTGCACACATGGCATTGGATTGTTCGCGCGATTAGGTATGTGTTACAATTGTAGGAATGGCCTTTATGAGGGGGAATGGATGCGTAGTAGTGGAGGTACAAACGTATAGAGATATGGCGCTAACTTGTAACAGTGGTACATGCACAATTATATGTCCTACCCAAGTAGTAGGGATTCACATGTTAAGAAATGTCTTACGCGATTAGTAGTAATGGTAAATACACAACATGTATGGCCAACACAAGTAGTACTGGTGGGTGTCCATACACAATAGATTTGGCCAGGAGTAATAGTAATGGTTACCTACTTATAGATATTACCAACACGAGAAGTAGTAGTAGTTCATACCTACAGATTTAGCCAAAAAGTAGTAGTAGAAGTGGTTCATACGCCAAAAATTAGTTGTAGTTGATCATAATTATAGATAAGGCCAACAAAGTAGTATTAGTGGTCCTTACTTATAGATATGGCCAACAAAGTAATAGCAATTACCCATACTTATAGATACGGCCAACAAAGTAGTATTAGTGGTCATTTCTTATAGATACGGCCAACAAATTAAAAGTAGTAGTGGTCCATACTTATTAATACGGCCAACAAAGTAGTATTAGTGGTCCTTACTTATAGATACGGCCAACAAAGTAATAGCAATTACCCATACTTATAGATACGGCCAACAAAGTAGTATTAGTGGTCCTTACTTATAGATACGGCCAACAAAGTAATAGTAGTAGTGGTCCATACTTATAGATACGGCCAACACAGTAGAAATAATAGTAGTGGTCCATACTTATAGTTACGGCCAACACGATTTTTGTATGGCCACAATAATTAATGAAGTACAATGAAGAAAATATTGGTTTGAGAACAAAAAAGAAGTCAGTAACATTTAGATTGTGTTCGTCACATTCCCGAAAATGTAAAGTAAAACTAAATGTTTAAGTAATTAAAAATAAAAGCTTCATTTGGCCAAAAATTTGTTTTTGTCCGTGGGCCACCTGTGGCCATTGGCCAACTTACTGCACATCGCTGATTTGCGGGCGGGGGGTGGGTGGGGGGTGGGGAGCCTGCTGTGCCATATTGCCTCTTGTCCTTGGATACCCCGACTTTACAGAAGATCATATTTCATTTTCACCTTTGAAACGTTGGAGAACATCTTTACTCCACTTTCCCATCTCCACGCGATAATTCTCATTCTATTCTCTGTAAACTCCATCACGCATGCAATCCCTTTAGGATAAAGTCTGCATCATCATTATATCCACTAAACACGGCCAGGTGTATCCATTTATATCCATCTCTTATTCTACATCCCTTCCACAATCATCTATATCCCCCCCCCCCAAAACCCTCCCCAGACAATCCTTCCAATCGCCTCGTTTTAGCGATTTCTCTGCTGGTTTATGAAAACTTTCCATAACCCTTATGCCAGAGGGTTTTCTTCCTTAATTCCATTACACTCTTCATCTGTATCCCGAATACTTATGAACAATTATTGATCTATTTGAACAACGTCTTTGAAAAAGGTGATGAATAATTGAATTTAAAAAATTTAATAATTTTCAGAATTTGATGATTAATACTTGATTTTAAAAAAAAAAAAAAACTTTAACAAATTTGCACAACTATTTTGTATAAATTAATAATGTCCTAAGGGCTTTGGCGATTAGTTTCATCTGTTGCTATGAGATGCTGACGTCACATCGCATCTCCAGCTATGTACCGCGCCGTCCTTGTGTTGCATTCATTTGTAAATTGGACGACTGCTGTTTGCTGACCGTGGACGAGTTGTGACCGCCGCTGATGATCTGGACCTTGGGGGGGGGGGAAGGGGGGGGGGGGGGAAGAAGAGAATGTCAAACAACTATGTTAAATAGACCCTTGGGTGGGGGGGAGGGGAACGGTGACCCCCATTGGAATGTTGCAACTGAAAAATAACAACTAGAAAAAGTAGGTCCCATGTCATAGGTCAATATAGTTTAGGAAAAGGTATTAACATTCTTTTTTTTTAATTTCTGAAACTTATTTTACATACATATTAATAATAGCGTACAAATGAGATCCAAATGGAATACGGTTTTTTTAATTCAATTTCTGACCACTATCTCTAATATCGTATCCGGAAATTTGTTTGAATCAAACTTCGACGACGGAAAAGTAATGGACGGAAGTTTGGTCGAACGGAAATTTTATGGAATTATATGTTCAGTTCACACGATCAAATTTTGCGTCAAATATCTTCTTGAACGCAATATTTTGCTTCACTATATAGTATATTGCGTTCAAAAAGAAATTTGACAAAAATTTGCTCATGTGAATTGAAAAAAAAAAAAAAATCCGACCAAATTTCCGTTCGATCAAACTTCCGTCAATAAATTTTCGGTCGACGAAATTTCTTTCAAACAAATATCCCGTAACCGTATAATATAGCTGTTCTTGTCATAAATTTGAGTATCCACCATATTTTTGTTTTAAAGTTTCTGAACTAAATGTTTTTAAAAAAAAAACAACCACCTAATGACTGGTGTCAAAGATTGACGATAGTTGTCTGGTGTCATCTTAACTTTAGACTTGTTCAAGCTGCACAAGGTATATCGCCACACAAAAGTCCTGCACACCAGGTCATTGTGTATTAAATTATAGTGTGGTTGGTCAATCTCGTTTGTGTCTCTCCTCAATTTGCGATCGGCTAGATTTTTTAAATGTTTGTTTAAAGGAGTTAATGTGTCATTTCCTACTTCAAAGTTAATGTATCCTGCCCTACTCCAGAATAAATGTGTCATTTTCTACTTCAAAATTAATGTATCCTGTCCTACTTTAGATTTAATGTATCCTGCCCTACGTATAGAGTTAATCTACCCTGCTCTACTCCAGCTTTATAAGCTTGCTCCAACGAGTTAAAAGTTAATCAAGACAGTACAAATAAGAGAGAAAATTTAATATAGTTGAGTTTTTGACATTTAATTTCCCGTCGCATCCCCCCCCCCCCCCTCCACTATGTATTCATAATCATACAGCCAAAAAGGACATTAATTGCAGATGTAATAAAAAACGTAAATGAGAAAGAATTCATTTATTTTTAAATAAGAAGTTAGTGTATAAATGTTTTAAAATGTCTTATTGGAAAGAAATGTCAAAGTTAAATGTGATAATGTCAAATGTGGTTATAAAGAAACGAAAAATGCTGCAGAGAAATATGATAAGATCAAAAATAAGGGTTTGGGAAATCTTTATTTCATGGTAAATTATGTGAATCGATGTTTTATTTTGTCCATTAATTCCTTATGCATATTACAAAACTGGGTCTTTCTCCACCAATGAACACCATTTATTTCCCATAAAACTTGGCCAATGCTCCAGTGTTTCCGCAAGCACGTTGCCCCGGGATTCAGACACCA